TCCACTAGCCCCCCCCCCGCCCCCGTTGACGTTCGCGATACAGGGGGCTTCATCAAATAACCTTGAGTGGAGCCAGGAGTTGGAGTACCAAACACTGACTCCAGGTTTCTCACTGAGAAAGTTATGTGCACCCCTGCCTATTATACTGTTTTTCATCAATATATTATAGATCTCAGATATATAGAAAGCATGTCTCTGGTCCTGAGGGTGGGGTTTTTATTTTATTTGTGTTTGTTTTGTAAGGGAACTGTTTGTGTTCTTTCACGTATGTGTTTTGTACCATGTTTTTCTGTGTTTCTGCTTACATTTAAAAAAATATGATCACAAAAAAAAACATTAATTACAGATGTAATGGCAATTTCCTGTTTCTATGTCCTATATATTTTTGCCGTTACTTCACAGAAGGGCTGAAGAGTGATCCAGACACAAACGGATGATTTTCCGGTCCTTTGGTGCAGCTTATAATGAGGTTTATTCATGTTACATACCAGGGTTTAATTGTACAGTTTAGTTGTTGTGTGGTGAGCATCTGCCGGGCTGGTGAAATCGGTATGCCCTCTTCCTTCTGTGTCCTGCCCTCTCCTGTCACCTATGACCTCTTTATATACACCCGGTGCAGCTAAACCCCGCCACCAAGTGTTCAAAAATAATATTGCACTATACATATAACTTAAATAAACTGACACACCAACAACACCCATAAAATGGCTCCTACAACAGATTAAAAGCAGTTCTGAAGAGGTGAGGTTTTTTTTTATTTGTGATTTGAACATGGGGAGGTCAGTGCATTCACCGATGTTTTTGGGGTAGTGAGTTCCAGATGGAGAAGGCTAACTGCTAACACTACATTCTCATTTCTTCACAAGGTACCGTCAAAGACCGACTGTGTGATGTGCTTCGGCCCGGTTTCACCCAGCGGATACGGCGTGTGCTACAACCCCATGGACGATCACATCAACTTTGCAGTGTCGTCTTTCAACAGCTGTTCAGAAACTAACGCAGCACATCTGGCCCGCGCTGTGGAGGCTGCTCTGCAGGACATGAGGAAACTGCTGGAGCAAACGCCCAGAGCCAAACTGTGAAGCAGGACTTTAATAACCTGTGAAGTGAAATGGATCAGTAGCAGGATGTCCAAGCTAGAGTATTCTCGTGATTTGATCGATTATGCACTTTAAATAATGTGTGATTACTGCTTTGTAACGACTGGCAGGCAGGTGCTGTTCCTCTGCTGGTACAATCCACACTAGTCATAATGATGGACAATCGATTTACAGCCCGTTCTGTTTTAAAGTGTTACACTGATTAACACGAATGAATTTGTGGATGGATTGTCTTTAAATCCTTTTAATATCAACAAAAACCTGATGAGATGAGACTCAGTTATTAATTATTTTTACATGAATAGCCTGACACACTCTGGGTTGTGCCTCTGTGCCTTAAATGTACACTGTTTGATAACTCAGGGGACACGTCTGCTCTAACATAACTTTGCTAAGTCTTATATTTACAGTCCAAGGATTTTATAAAGTTCATAACATCTTCACTCTATTAATAATCATGGCTTTCTAAAATCACATAACGAATGGTGTTGTCTTGTATCATCACCCAATGATCACTCATGAAGTCTTGTGGCTGCCATAAACATGTCTTCACTGAGCATTGATACTCACAACATGCAGTATATTCATTATATTAATCCATGCTTTTTATTTAATGATTGTATTAATCTGTGCCCTCTGATTTCCACATGCATGTTTACATGTTCTACCATACGACAGCCAGTGGTGTATTCGGCTTAATGTCTCCCACCGTGTCTTTTTTTCATACAAGGAAGTGACACAATTCAGAATCTAATCAGAAAACAGGCCTCTTCATTTAATTTAAACAACTTTGAAGTGCCATGTTTATACTGATGTAAGATGATGTTGTGATGTGCCAGTTATCTGTGTGTAAACTTCAATAAGAACTCTCTATCTATGGGAGGGGTGTGTCTTCATGTAATAGACTATGTTGGCCAGTCAGCATTTCATCATGTGTTTGTGATATTCTGCATACAGTAGTAATGGAAGAGATGGAATGATTCTGTGCAGAAGTTATGCTAATCATATTGGGAGGACAGTCTAGCAGGAAACATGCATAATAACATGAAGAATTGTGTTTTGATTGACTTGCAAATGAAATACATTGTTTTCAAAACACTTATGACTGATTTTTCCTTACAGAAGTATTTTTCCTGAGTTTCAATGTAGATTTACGTTTCAGCACGATCTTAAAACACATTATTGATAACAGCAGGAACAATGAATAGTGAATGTTTGGTTATTTTAGGTCCACTTAACTTCACTAAAAGCAGGGAGAAAAAGTGAAAGTAGTTCAGCTCACATTGCAGGCCTCCAGGAACCACGTTGAGTCCCTTATTGTTTCACCGTGACAGTTTTTAATGTAACACTATGATGTGGGCAATTTTTCATACACTGCAAGAAAGATCAGTACATATTTTAAGCAGTTGTATTGTCTCATTAGTTTCTTGTATTAGCGAGTGACTTACAGGCTATTCATTCAGAAAAAGAGTTAACTCACATCCAAGTTATTTCATAAACGTTGCCAAAGTTAAGATGAAGTTATTAGTTATTACAGTTCGAGGCAGAGACCCTTCCTTTACTCCTCACCTGAGAGATTTGATCCAGGAGAAGAAACAAATTCAACTTGGATAAAAAGTGAAGTGTCAACAAACTTTATCTCTGTTGTTCTTGACGAAAAAAATCTTATTTTAAACTCAATATGAGAACAAATGTCAACACACATCTACAGTAATTCCATAAACGTTGCCAAAGTTAAGATGACGTTATTAGAGGCAGAGACCCCTCCTTTACTCCTAACCTGAAAGATTTGATCCAGGAGAAAAAAATAAAAGTTGAACTGGGAGAAAACAAAACACATCTCTGTTCATCCTATTTCAAACTCAAAATGCGAACAAATGTTTGATGAGTGTTGATATTTTTTGATAGGAGTGTGGATATATTTTACAGTGGAGAGCAGGAAGGCTTGGCTTGTGGTAAAGAAGTGAAAGTAAAAGTAAAAACCTGAGAAGTGCTGACACTCCGCTTGACTTCTGAGGGCTTTAGTTGAAGGTTTTGATCCCTTTGTTCACCCTCAGCTCTGCTCTCTGATAACATGCTGCACACCGCGAAGCCCTGTGAGATTCAGACTGGAGGATTCTGCTTCGAGAACACCCGCAGGTAAACCAACAACAACCTTTGTTACTGTCACTGCTAAAATGGTGGAGGGAATACTGAGTGACTCCAATCTGCCATGACGTTATCTGTGCACATGTAGCTCTGCCTTTACCCTCTCTATACCCAGAGGTGGGAAGTAGTGGAGTACAAATACTTTGTTACTGTACTTAAGTACATTTTTCTGGTATCAGTACTTTACTCCACTACTTATTTTTCTGACAACTTTTTACATGGACTTCTTACATTTTTAACACAAACACCTGTAGGCTACTTTCTACTTCTTACATGTTGAACACAAATACCTGTACTTTCTACTTCTTACATGTTGAACACAAATACCTGTACTTTCTACTTCTTACATTTTCCAAACAGGCTGGTTCCTTTAGTTTGAATGTATGTTTGGTGGCGTGATCATTATTATTTAGAGTCATTGCGTGCCTATTGATTTGAACACGATCCGTGTATCCATCATTTCCTGGTCTTCTCTAAAGAAGAGGGACCAATGGAAACGTTGTCATGTTGCCGTTGTTCAGCATGGAAACATTCATTAGCTAACAATGACATTATTGTTCTATTAAAATAAAGGGAGGTCAGGTACTCTTTAAAACAGCTGCTAGTTATGGGTACTTTTTACTTAAGTACATTTCAAAGCCTCTTTACTTTGACTTGAGTAAAGAAGTTTAGTCAGTACTTCTACTTTCACCAGAGTTTTTTAAACACGAGTATCTGTACTTCTACTTGAGGAAAGGATGTGTGTACTTTTGCCATCTCTGTCTATACCTCTATATCACTGCTACACTGAAGGAGTTGATAGGAGTCTCATTCATGTTTTCCAGGAATGCAGTTCTGGAGTCCAGCTTGTCAGAGTCCGGATACAAAGCTCCAGGGGCCAGAAAGACTGGGACCACCATAGCTGGGATAGTTTTCAAGGTGAGGGTCTGCATTCAGTGTGGACCGGAAACTGCCACTTCAACCTACATTATGGTATTTTTGGAAATATGCCCTGATGACTTTGCTGTAGGGGAAACTGGGGAGGGTTGCAACACTTCTTCGTCTACTTGTTACCCATGCCATTTTAAAGATGATTTATGAATATCCTTCACGATATTTATTAAAATGGACGAAGACAGATGTAATATTAAATTTCATTCAGCTAACACTATAAGGAAACGACAGTAAGTGCAATCAACCATGAAGATACAAACTCAAGGAAACAGGAATCCTGCAGGTACATTGGCTTGTGCTGCATACAGGAAAGAGATTTTTTGTATAGGCCATCAGGAATACTTTCAACATATTAAAAATAAATGTTTCCTCATTACATTTTTCACCTGAAACAATTCTTCAGATGGGGATGAAGCAAGTATCTCTGACTTTACCTGTAAGAAACTAACACTCAACACATTTATGTTAGAGGTTGCTGCTCCTGGTCGCTCTGTATGTCAGCAGCACACAGCAAAAATGTGAAACCTTGCCAAGTATATTAGGGCTGCACGATTTGGGGAAATAATCTAATTGCGATTTTTCTGACAGATATTGCGATTCTATTTGCGATATTTGTTTTTAAGCGCCCCAACGGAAGTTTATTGTAAAATGCGGCCATAACTCCGGCTAGGAAGGTCGTATCAACATGCTCTCGTCTCTAGCACCCCCGCAGCCCGAGCTACGAGTGAAAGAACTAAACTTACATGAAACCTCCGTTGGGTTGCTTTAAAGTCAAGCTTCAGTTTAAGATTCACCCTGTGATAGAAACATGTGGTGGAGCATTACTAACCTGACTCAGATGGTTTCACCAAACCATCTAGGAAAGCTCCATTGGAAGCCATTTTAAAAAGTATTTCAAAAATACTTGGCAGGTGATTGGATCAATCTGTCTATCACCTTCTATCATGGGCCACTTCTGATTGGTTAACAATGACTGGTACATGTGGAGCACAGCACTTCTGATTGGTGTGGAGGACTGACACACAAGAAGAAAAAAAAAAATTGTAAAA